TCCAAACGACCGCTCGCGTATCCGCGCCGGGAGTAACTCGACCCGAAAGGTCACCGTTCATCGCCAGCGACAGAAGGTCACGGCAAACGGACCGCCCACAGGTCCACCGGTCACGCCAAGGCATCACGTTCGTCGGCGTACTCACGCCGCCGCCTCCATCGACTTCCACATCAAGAAAGCTATTCCGAACCATCTCCTGCGCTGGCCGATCACTCGCGGACGCAGCGCGACGGGATGGACGCTCCCCGCCCCAACGGCCGCGTGCGAAGGGCGCCGGGGAATCCGCCACAAACATGACATGTCGTGACATGACGTGACGTGTCGTGACGCAGTCGGAAGGCGACGGTCTTGGCGCAGAGACCGGCAATTTAGCCAGAGTCGTGCCGGATATTTTTACGGCCTCGTTAACCGTTGAGCGGGCTCGTAACGCTGGGTGTTGGCGATCCCAGACTGGCGAATATTCGGCACATGTCGCCGGCAGACTCCCGCCAACGACGGCAGCGTCGCCGCGACGCCGGCGCGATGAAAAATTCACTCATTCGGGGATTAGTCGCTAAGCTGTAATGCATAGAGAGCAGGATATTGGATGGTCTCATCATACAGGCGCGGTCGTGGTGTCCTATTCACCGCAAATCTGCCGGCTTCTCCCGGTGCGAAGGATTGCTCTTCATGAGACACCGGGCATCGCACGTATGAACATGCGTACAATTGAGATATAAATTAAGCTATATGGCATATATATATATATATATATATATATATATATATATATATATATATATATATATATGTGTGTGTGTGTGTGTGTGTGTGTGTGTATATATCTTGACATGTCATATATAAATATAAATAACGTATCTCAATGTTAAAGTTTCCATCGCTGGATTTCTTCTCCTTACCGTTAAGGTTTCGGTTACGATATGCCCTGAGCTTCGCTAGCCGAATGGCTCCCCTGATACTACTGTACAGTTTCGGACAAATCTGGCTCCTGGAGACAAATCACTTGTGAGCTGTTTCGCCTCTTAAAGAACTTGACCATGAGCGTTGCGCGGAAATGTCAAGCTTTGCTGTGATCATGTAACACTGTTTGCTCAAAGGCGTCGCTCACGCGGTACCTCCTGGTATATCAAAGGTCTCCTGCTTTCAACATAGGAGTTGATATTTGGCAAAACCAGGAGCAAAAGGCTTGTCTTGGTCATATCATGTTTTGCTTCCCAAAGAAAGGGGCGGTAGCAATCACTGGTGGCAAAGAAGATAAACTCTTCTGGATCGCTTCGGATCTGATGACCCTTAAGACGCGCCCGGGCGGCCGGTTGGATGCCCTTTGCTCGGGTGGAGGTCAGTTTGACCCCCTGAGATCTCAAAAACTAAGAAAGCTAAAAACAGGCAAATTCACAGGATGTGTCGGTCTCTGCGCAAACTGACTTGGGCCAAGTTTGAGGGTCCTAGGTCATGACATTCGGGCAAATAAGGCCAAACGAGGTCCAACTCCAGTTTGCTGTCCAAAGTGCCCCAGGACCTAGACACTTGTTCTAAACAATAGCTCATATGCTCATTTAAGGTGGATGACCTTGTTTAACCTTTCGGAGATAACAGTGACCAAAATCATACCAGACCACTTTGAGTTCTGCATTTGAATAAGCGACAAAGATTACGCTGAGCAGTATGTTCCTAAAACAAAATGTTAACCTGCTTCATTTTAGTTAAGTGACCTATTCTGATCTTTAAGAATTCCATGAAAGCTGTATAATGCGGCTCTTGTTATAAAAAATCATATTCAAAGTTTGCACCAAAACATACCCCATACAGCATGCCCGAGACTAATAAAACAGGTTGGTCTTGGCCTTAGTCTAGCCTTTATACCCGGCCGTAGGTGGATGGAATTTGTTAACCCAATCGTTGTGTTGCATAAAAAAGTATTTCAGACATGTATGGCTTCGTTTAACACTCTGTTCTTGCATCAGATTGAATGCTTCCCTAGGAACTGAGCTCCCTGAGGACATAACATGACCTTGGCCCACCGTAAATTAGCGACCGTACAAGGTGCATCTTAATTTTCTATACCAAACGATCCGCTATTTAATTTTTTACAGCTATGCAAAATGTTGCGTGGCTACGTCGCATGGTTCGGAAAGCATTTCGAAAAACCTTCGGGGGCTTAAATTAACCCCCACCCGAGCGTATGTTAAGTCTGAATTTCAGCGATATGTTTGTGAACGTACGCCGTAAGCTCCAGCTTGCTTGAACTGTACAAAGTTTGCCCAAATTCAAAGAATAACAGTTTTTGTTTACACCCCCTTGCAATAGAATAAAGGTAGGAAAACGGTCATTATCGGGTGATTTACGTCCAGGTTCAATGGTGCAGGCTGTTAATAATCATGGAAACACCATGGCAGCACGTGAGATCAGCACACCCACAGGATGGCGTTCACTCAGCACGAGCCTGACCTCGGGCATCAAACATGGCCCTGGCCTTTCGCGGCCGCGGTGCCGTCTGCGGCAGCGGGCCGAGTGTTGACCGCTGGGCAGCCGCGCGCTGACCCGGGTCGGGCCGGCGCATCCCCGGCCGCCGGACCATTTACACCCGGCCAAAGAAGTCAGCACCATCCATCCTCCCACAGGCCCTGGCAGCTCGGCAGGAAGCGAGCTTTACGGAAACATGGGCCATAAATTGTATCGAAGCGGAAAATTTCTGTTGGAAGAGGCACTGAAATCGGTCAGCGACGTAACTCGTCGGCCTTCGCTTGCTTCCACATTGCAGCGCCGCAGGACGTGCATTTGCTCAATCACAAGCCTTATCGAACAGGGTAAACAGGAACCTAGGACTCGCCTGCTAGCCCGACAATGGCTAGGGTATTTGGCGGCATTAAACAAACGGAAAATTAACACTTTTCCGTTTTATCTCCAAAAGCAACTGACCGATTTCGACGCTTTAAGATGCGGTCGGTAGCCCAGTGCAGTACAATCCAGCAAGTTCATTTTTGGATACCACGAGAAGCATAGTCACTATCTAGTTAACATTTCTCGTAAATCTAGTTGAAATTTTTGCGAAAGAACGGTTAACAGGGGTCTGAAACCGAGCCTAGATCCCGACAACACGGAGTCGTAAATAAACGATACCCGCACAATCAGGCAAAGAAAGGAACGGACAAACTTGTAGGCTAATGTACGTCGCCGTGCGCGGTAGGGACCGTCCTTTCGAATGCAAATTATGGATCATCATGCTTAGGCATTTTTCCTTATGAACCCAGTAATGACGGATGCTCTGAGCAGATGGGAGGAAAGAATTGGTAGGGTACGCTCCGAGCAGATGGGAGGAGGGGAGTGGTAGGGTACACTCTGAGCAGATGGGAGGAAGGGGGTGGAAGGGTGCACTTGGCACTCGTTTCTTTCCATTTAACTACATAGATTAATGTTAAACTTGGCGGAACAGTGTGTGCGTGCGCAGCAGGAGGCTGGGGGAAGGAGGGGGGAAGGGGAACACCCTGAGCTAGATATACGGCCTCCGAGTCTTACAACTGTTTCACGTACCACGAGGGTGAAGTTTAAAGCGACACATGATTTTCTGCGTGGAAATGTCCCATTCGTTACATATTCAAAACGCTCCCAAAGCTCCCTAAATCGCTTTATGTAAATGCGCTTTGCGTTGATGCGATGAAGATAACAAGTGCAGCCTCTGCTAGAAAGCTAGCCGTCATAGCACGGGCAGAAACTTCCACATAGAGTTTGCCATTCAGTACGTGCCTACCGGAAGGACTGCGCCATCAACCCCTTGACTCGGCCGAGGTGTTCTGTGGTCCGCCCAGAGGTCACTCCTGCGGGTCATTCTCGTGACGATTGCCATGACTAGGGCTGCTTCTGACATGCAGTAGGGTGCTTCAGGCTTACTGTACAGCCGGTTGTACATTTGCATGGCGGATTTTCTGCTGTCCAGAAGTCGACAAGGTAGTGTGTGTTACCCACTCGTTTCGGCTGAGATTTGCTGAATAGTTTAAGGCAGCCATTCACATTTCGCCGCATGGGATGAAGACAATTGATGTGAACCCACAAGAGTTTACATGAATCTCGGCTGTGATGGGAACAAGGGTTCACATCACAACCGAGGCTAAATATCACACCGGTAACGTGTAAAGCTCTCGGAAATCAAATCCACCCTTTTCAACACCAATAACACCCGCAAGCTGTCGATGGCAGACCCTTTAAATGCTTGAAACGAAAAGCGTGAGCAGAGGAACAAGCGAACGGCCGAAGCACGGCTGGAGCAGTCGAGCGACGCTTCAACCAGCAATCGGTCTGATAAAGCACTTAACAGAGGTTTTAACCCGTAGCGGGTGACATCGTCTGTAGACGATGCAGATGGGGGCATTACAGCTTCGCAGTCTTGAATTACCGATGAAACGGCGAATGCCAATTCAGAAAATGTTTTAAAAGACCATTCGCAAAGCAGTAAGCCGTGAGATGGAAGATCCATCATAGCAAGGATAAGAGTTGCGTTGTTAATATTTTGTCCCAATCCATGGCACGTATATCAATGTAAATTTATTGCATTCTGCTTGTGAAATACGCTAGCCAATCACACACCCGGCTCTAGCCAAAAGCACTTGTGAATGTGAGTGTGGACACCCCACCATCGAACTTGCCTGCATGCTAAACCCTAATGCAATATAGCCATGTCAAGTGATATCACTCATTCATGGGAATCTAAGGCGTCATGCACCTTTTAGCATCACCTTCGTGGTGCTCACATCAATCCCGTCACCGTGATACACTAGCATCAGGCACGCGGCTGACTCGTCGCGCGCCACGTGGGACGTCTTGCCCGTTAGAGTAACAGGGCGCCGTTTAGTTTCAGGCTGCGCCTTCCTCACCTGCTGTGCCCGAGAGAGCGCTGTCCCGTTAGACTAACAGGACGCCGTTTGGTTTCAGGCTGCGCCTTCCTCACCAACTGTGCCCGAGAGAGCGCTGTCCCGTTAGACTAACAGGGCGCCGTTCTGTTTCAGGCTGCGCCTTCCTCACCTACTGTGCCCGAGAGAGCGCTGTCGTCGCGCAAAAGTCGCTGCACGAGAAGCGCACTTTACCCGGGGTAAGTACTCCGCGGCCGCAGAAGCGCCGTGCTTCCGACATCGCTGCTGGTGGAGACCCCGAAGCATAAGACTGGTTGGGTGATGCGTTGCACTAGTTCTGCACAAAGAACATGGGCCAGAGACACGCGAAAACGGTTTTTTTGTGCTGTTGCTAGGATGCTTAATCGTTTCTTACGTTTGCAATGCTTTCAATGATCAGCGATTTATCGACTCTCCTGTTGCCGTGTGTAATGTATGCGCACACAATCACAAGTGACCATTACTTAGTTGTGAACCGGCGGGGGATTCGGCTCCTCGCGCCAGCCTCGCAGATTTCCGTTCCACTCACGTTGTATTTTTGGCGGTGTTCCTCCACCATCTATACACGTCAGCGGGGATCTTTTCAACGCATTTACCAGGAGGAGGGTTAATCTTCCAAAGAGCCGACGTCATCAATATAACAGACCCAATAAAACGGGCAGACTCGCTGATCCCGACTCCCACGAGCTGGACGAAGGGAAGTCTGGTCCTAGTGTGAACGCAGGGTCTGCTTTCCCGCCATTTAAATCGTCGTTCATGAAATAGTTATTTATGTCGAGACAATGGGCATTATGCACAGTAAAATGCCTACAGCGAAAAGGCGCATTTTCCCATGTTCACAACGACCGTGGCCCCGCGGCCTCCTCCGCGTTCGGATGAGAGGTGCGTCTGACGTCATATAGCGGTATACTGACATTCTCTTGTGATTTCTGGGGATCATTGGTCATTTTCAGAGATGCAGAACTTGCAACTCATACGGTTTCCGTTTAAGTGGACTTCATTCCAGTGTTTTGCTGTTGATCAAATGCATAGGGCTAACAATATCAGGTTCATCCACGTTGTTTCATGAGGGAAGCCAGAGAAAAAGCTAAATGTATGAGTGGCGGACAGCCGCGATAGAATAGCAATGTGCCAGGGAAACGAATGACTGACGACACAAAATCGATAAATGCTGCTTCTTACGATTGCATCATTACGGTTATGTAATTTGATAGCCCCGGTTTTCATTGATTTATTCATAGCAGCACATTAAGACCCACAGGTCCAACAAAGAGTGCGCATATTTAATACAAAGCCTCCATTCCTTCGCATTGTTTTACCGTTACTATCAGGTATATTACAGCTCTTGGTTACGTCGTGATGCTACGCCAGCTCGGCTGTCCATAGCCAAGCTGCACTGCGCGTGTATTGTGTGCGTGTGGCTGGCCTAAAAAGCCACGCTCGCGGTTAACAATCCACTGTTTTACACAGAGGGGATGGAACTTACGCAGCCTACCGGCCCTTGACCTTCACGGGCTTCGGCTGCGCGAATCATTGCTTCTGCGATGGCCGTCGTTTCATTTTGCTCGCGAGCCGGATTGCCCCGAACATTCATCCTGTTCAGCGAACTGCCGCAGACGGATGTGAACCGGAGCGCTGGGTCCGTGACAGCATCTAGGCAGGGGAGTACTATATTGTTTCTCGATGGATGTCCCTGCCGGTATCGGGGCCACGTGACTCGGCGGTGACAGTTTCCAGCGACAGCAGGTCAACGTGACGGCAAACATGTTCATGTTCATGGCCATGCTCATTGCATTCACGAATTATTCTAACACGTGGTTTATCGTTTGTTTGGTGCAATTACGATAAGAGTGTGACTGCAATATCAAAGCATGACAACAACCGGCCACATTTGCACGTTAACAATCATCCTGTCATTCGCACAATTTCGTCAAAAGCTAAATCATTAATCAAAACATAAATCGCCAAAACATGCCACACAACGGCCGGCAGGCAATGTTACACGACAAGCAAACCATTATTACACAACGGGACCGTCTGTATCGTCCAGTCCGGTGCAAAGCTCTATGCGGGTGCGAGATGCGGCGGTGGTCGGCGGCAAACGGCTGCGATGCGAAAAGCCCCGCGTGTCACCGACAGGCGAGGAGGTGACAGCTCTCTGGCGCATACCGCTGCCGACCGGGGGTGGCGCGCTGGCACACAACGGCACGAGGGGTAGACGGGGACCGGGTCCCCATTGGAGTCCACGAGTCATTAAGGGCCTTGAATACAGTGAGGCTGTCACAGTGGATGACAAGGTCACCACCACCGCCCCAACCCGGCGCTTGAATGGCCGTCGCCATTGAGTCTCGCTGACGAGCATCGGTGACGATCTTGGCCCCAAAGCTAAGCACCTCTTGCACCCTGCTTAGGTGGCACGCTGCACGAGGCAGCACAGAAGTGAAGGAAAACATAAGACTGGATCGGAGGTTTACGAGCCTTGCGCGAAAGGCGGTGACGAATTGTCAGAAGAAAGAATATGAGTCGCACTTTTTGACAACATGGAATATGTATATCTTCCAGGAATGGGCACTTTCAGTGGTAACGCCCAGGGTTGTCACGGACAGCGAAGGGCTTTAATTTGTGTCCCACATTGTGGACGTGAAAAGATGAGTTTTTTTCCTTTGAGAAGAAAACTAACCCTTTCTTGCTTTGACATCTTTGAGGTAGATAGTTTGTAGATGGTTTGGATGTCGTCTTGGGAAGCAGCCGAAGTTAACATGAAAGAACTGGGCGCAGCCCACGCCAATTCTCGCGCTTGTGTATGAAGGCTGCCGACTGGCAGGTGTTGCCCATTGCGACCTCTTCATTCGGTACTTGGAGCGGGGACCCCGTCCACACGGTACATGCAGCATGCACACGGTACAGAGAGCAGCGCTTTTCGGAAACGTCTGCAACCTTGATGGCGGATTCACTGGTGCTACCGCTCATTGCCTTTTGATGGTCTTTATGGCATGCGAACTTCATCTATTGCTGGAATAGATCAAACCAGTGGCCTGGTGCACGGGCTAACCGTACTAAACTTCCATGAATGGCTCAACCCCGAGGTTGTTTCCGGCGATTTAAAATGCGATGGAAGGTCACTTGCTCAATTGCATCTAGGAAATAATAGTTTATGCATTGTTTTGCTCTTTCAAAATTACACACGTTGTACCCTGCTAAGCTTTGTGAGAATCGCGTCACGGAGTTGTTTTCTCCCGCAGAAAACTTGGAACCCTAAGCGCAACAGAACAGCACGCGAATGTATGGTGGTTGCGGTCACCAACGTGTCATATATTCTTGAGGCGCAGCTATAGCGGGCGACATCACGTGGCCAGCTTGTCCTCGGTGACTGATGTTGCCATTAATCCGACTGTCCGCTGGCATCTACCCATTCAGTGTGTGTCTGTCACGGCATCTGTCATTCTATTCCTATTTGCACGATTGCCGCCCTTGCCCTGTCCCTGTTTGCAACGGTATCTGTCGTCCTATACCTTTCCACATGGTCGTTCGCCCTCTCTTACTGGTGGTCTCGGCCGCCGCCGTCCCGTTCGCCGCCGTTACGTTCCTGTCTGAGGGGCCGTTCGTCAGTCTGTCCCCGTTCACCATGACCTGTTTCTGTCTGCAGGGCCGTCCATTCCGCCGTTGACACCAGCCCAGGGGGGGGGTGGGTGGCCACCGCCGGTCACCGGGGGGGGGGGGGGGGGGGCTCCTCGGTGACCGACGAGGTCGCGTGTCGCTCGCCGGCCTGACTCCGATGGCGGCCCAAACTGCCAGACCCGGCTTAAAGCTGTCTCATGAAGCCGAAACCAATGAACCTCCCCGTTTCCCCTCCCCCTCACCGTGAGGCGCCCCGCCTCACGGTGAGGGTGGGGGTGGGAAGGGGGAGGGGCAGACGTTGTTTCCGTGCTCGGATGCAGCCGCTTTTTACTAACGCCTCAGCTGACGCGGCGGACGGGCGATAAGGAACGGTGTTCCACCTGTTCTGACAGAAGACGCCTTACTGCAAGACGGTAATCGGGCGTTATCGACTGTGAGCCGCAGAGGACTTACAGCTGCACATTTATATTTGATCAATTTCGAAGTCCCGGTGACGTCATATGACCTAAGCTGTGATATTCATAAAGCGCCAGAAATTAAAGACAAGTCATTGGCATTACGCCACGAGCTGCATGCAGCCCATCGCTGGTGTGTGAGGCTGACGGCTGTCGGTCAATTATCTACGGCAATCTTCAGGTTTCATAGAAGATAAACTTGTTGGAATGGAAGATTCAGCTCGTAATCACTAGCCATGGCACGTTCAGTGACGCTCGAGAACGGCAGTAACCTGCGCCGTTTCAGTGGCGAATTGGAGACGGATGGAGCTTTAGCATCCTATTGGGTTCGTATTTGCTGATGGTTCTTGAGAGCAGCACTAGAGGGAGAGATGAAAACAGTCAAGGGAATTTTCCATTGGGTAAAATCCAATTCGCCTCGACGGGCCGTTTCATTGCGTTGATGCCATTGCCCAAAGTGGCTCGCGCGCTCGTTTGTACGCCAACAACGGCTGATGATTTCGTAATTTCGTGATATAACGACCTTAAAGTGAGAAGTTCCTTGATTGCACATCCTGAAAGTTTTATGACACTTGCGTTCACATTTTGTATCAAAGGTCTTTCTCAGAGATAAACGCCATTGGTTGCAACAATAATGGCATTTCCCACTCTCTACCAATCAAATAGCCATAACCAGGTTGCAAAAAAGACGTTTAAAAACCCCACTGTCACGTGCAGAACCTTATTACAAAGGTCAATAGCAAACAAAAACCAACAAAGTTGAACACGCTAACGCCACGCTCTTCAGACACTAGTTCTGCTAGTTTTGAATAGAAATATACTGATTCCTAACATGCCTTTTCCTCCACCCATCGCGTCCAGGCTTAGAATGAGCGCAGAAAACCTTTCGAGCCTCCTGGCAAAAGAGAGAAAATTTGCCGCCGTTTAGGCTGAAGCAGCTGTACACACTGCATTGCACCACTCTGATGCTGCCAGAAACAAGAGTCGGCAATGCAGAAACTGACATTCGCACTTATCCAAGAAGCTCGTCCCACAACACACGTCTTCGCTCAGTCCAGCCCATTCGAGGCACCATCTCGAGGGTTTGGAACGTTTTCATACAAAACATACAGAAGTTCAGAAGTAAACTGTGGGCCACTTTAAACTGCTGCGTTCAAACTGTTCACTCTGTTTGATCCAATCGCCCGTGAGCGTCTGTAAATGGGCCGCGAACCACCAGACCACCGTATTAAATTAGTCTGGTTTGCAAAAGATCTAGCATGGCAATGCCATGGTGACTCGGCCATCACGAAACACCCTACAGACAACAGACGACATCTTGAGCACGTTAAGCGTTGCGACTTACGTGGCGCAGTAATGTTTGTGCTTGGTGAATTGTAACGTCACACTGTACCGTGCGCCATCAGCTTACATTAAGCGTATAACATTTTTGTCTCCGGGCCGCTTTTGACAAGCTGTGCGCTATACTTAGAAGCTATCAACAATGCAAATGCACCTGTTTATCCTGCAAACGGTCCGAATAGATGTATATCGCATCAATGTCATGAATTGGGAAGTGGAATCGAAGAAATTGTTTAGCTTAGTGTCTTGGTTGGAGTCAACCCGACAAATACAAAATAAAATGAAAGCTGTAGCACGACCTGTTGATTGCTTTCGGTCACAGTAGTTATCATATTCATATAACCGATTCAGGAAGCTCGCTGCTGATGACGAACTCGGCCCGCCAACTAAAAATCAAGTCAACGTCCGATATATCTCTTGGCTCAGTGGTCCAAACTATCGGCTGATTTTGAGATTGTGAACAACTGAAACGCTAAAAAATCGAAAAAATACTTGAAATTCTCAGCAGGTTCGTTAGAAATGAGGCGTTTTTGTTTTGCAGCTGAGGCCGGCGAACGAATCAACATACCCTGAGCCATCGGGGTTTTATGACATTTTTCATGTGTTTTTCATATGTACTTTGCACGTGATGCAGCGAGTGGACGATGCGCATATACATTTTTAGTTTTGCTTGATGACATTTGTGCACAGTCCTAGTGCTAATTTGAAGACAGAAACAATATGAGCAGGAGGCCAGGCCGTGCCAGCTCTTACAGGCCACTACCTCAATAGCTGAGTTCGGACCGGCACGTTACCGTTGCCAGACTTTTGTTGTCACGGCAACGCAACAGGGCAGAAAGGCCAGAAAATGCCTTTGGTGTGATTAGGTGGAGCTGGGATCAGTTAGTATGGGCTATTTCACTTCTGGCGGGCTAGCATGCTTGCACCCCTCATTCGTTTCTGCTCTGTCTTGCGCGCTGCTGAGTGCATCCCCATGCCGGCCACCCAAAGATGTTTAATCTTCCCAAAACCCCGCTTTTTACCATATAAACTTGAAAGCTTTATCATCACTGCTTCTATGCGTCACCTGACGACCCGATTTATCACGTGCCTTGCCAGTATAAGAATATCCGTGTGCATTGGATGTGTATAATAGTTTCATTGGATGTGTATGATAGTTTCATTGGATGTGTATAATTTCAGTACAGATGTGTCGGTGTCTTAGCTGCGCTATGATCCCACATGGACCTAGCTTTGTCCTCACAGGACATGCGGCACAGATTCGAAATCGTGTGTCTTATTATTTCTCGGGCAGAAGGAAGAACACTAACGAGAGGAGGCCGTCAGTTAACCGCACAAAAACCGCTTTCTCCTCAGCCGGCAGCGGCAGCCTTTCCGGAGAACTAATCGCAACTCACAAATTGTGAGCGGGCGGAGATGACAGCGCTGGAGGAGATGACAAACTATGCCCCTCGTGAGAGAGCATTCAACTCAAAATTAGCAGCAAAGTAACGGGGGAAAGGCACAAAAGCCCGGATAACACAGCTAGGGTGATGAATTCGCGGCGCCAGAAGTGCGGAGCAGAAATAATTGTGCTCCTTCAAACCTGTCCTGACCCAAATAATGCGCAATCGACAAGTTGACGGCTTAAGACCAGGCTTCAACAGTTTTACAGCGCCCAAAGGGATCATTTAGAATAAAAAGACCCTAGAACGCCGTGAGAGATTTTCGGCCGCGGTGCTCTGCTAAATATGCATTGTACCCCTGGGATCACGCCTGCCGTTGTTTGTGAACATTTCGTCATACTGCAGCGCATCTTTTGATTTGAAAGACTAGCCTGAGCCAAGGCTTGGGCCAGGAACTAAGTGCATCTAGCCATGCTGTCAATGCCAGATAGAGCGATTATGTGTTCTCCCGCACAGACCGACGTTCGTGGCGCCACCGTTCGCAGAATTGGGGAACTGGCGCGCCGAATCGTGCGATGCATTTCATAGAGCTTTGCCGGTTCTATTCGTGTTGATGTTTTACTATCAATCGCAGGCGAGTGTTGTCTACCGAGTTGTGATTGGCAGTCAGCGCTGTTGAACAAGACGCGTTAGCTGCGGTGGATCCGCCAGATTCTCTCGGACGGCGTTCTCTCGTTTGATCTCCTTCTCTTGCCTCTGCAAAACAGAGCACTGCTTCACACCCCGCTGATTCTGCAGTCTCGTGCTTTGCCCATCAGAGCGTCCTCCCTTTTATTTGGCCGCCATTTTGGTCGTTGGATAAACGGAGGCACGTCTGAAGGAGGCCGGTGAAACAAACAACAGCGTGGGCGGCGTGCTTCTGCGGCCGTCGCGGCGCTGAAATCGTAGAAACAGTAGCGTCTCTGGCAACACCGCATATGCTTACGCGTAAACCTTAAGCCTTAAACCTCAAACCTTTAACCTCAAAGAGTTGCGTCTTCGGCAACACCGCATCTGCTTACGAGTAAACCTTACGCGTCTTACAGCAATCCGACATTGAGGTATTAGACTTCCCTCCTATCATGACCGGCGGCTTTTTTTACTCTCTCCGAATCAATGAGCCTATTTTGCCCATAAGCCCAAGCATGTCTTTCAAGTGAGCTCGATGTCACCAATAACGCTACAAGGCCAGCAGGGTCGTTACAATGACGAGCTCTGAAGCCATGCTTAGATTGAGCCTGAGGATAACCGCTTCAATCGAAGTGAGGGGCGTTGCGTCATTCTTCTCGCGATTTCGCCGATGAGATGAAGAACATACACTGGATGTAAGCTAGAAGAGTGGCCAGTGTTCCCAGACGAAAAGGTCGAATGAACTGCAGCATGGTTTCACGTGCCAAACATGTGGTTAAAATCAAAACATTCGGAAAAAGTGTGTTTCTGCAAGAAGTGAGTTGATACAAAGGTGGTTTTCAAAAGTCTAGCGCATTAGTCGCCTGGCAGGCATATGACCAATATTGACGAAGGTCTCGCCTAGTGTCTTAGGACGCCTGTGGAGCGCTTCTTGGGTGCGGCCTGTTGTCCTACCGTCACTCATGACAAAAAACCGGGGCTACAACTCTGACTACTCCAGCGCCATGCCAAACATACGTCAGCACCATACCAAACATACGTCAGCGCCATACCAAACATACGTCAGCACCATACCAAACATACGTCAGCACCATACCGAACATACGTCAGCACCATACCAAACACACGTCAGCGCCATACCAAACATACGTCAGCGCCATACCAAACATACGTCAGCACCATACCAAACATACGTCAGC